ATGGAGATTTGTACACCATCATTCATAGAAACATTATTCACTATTGCAAGAACATGGAATCAGCCCACATGTTCAACTACAACAGAATGGATTGAGAAATTGTGGTGCATTCACACAATGGAATACTATGCAGTACTCAGGAGCAATGAATTAAAAAAAAACAAACACCAAAAACTACTACCTAACTTGGTAGAGGCTGGAGAGCATTATGCTGAGTGAACTAACACAGTCTCATAAGGACAAATACTGCATAAGACCGTTATTGTAAAAATAGAAGGATAACTAGTAAAACATGTAAGGGAGCTCAAGGGAGGAGGGCTGAGGATGAGTAGGGGTGAAACTATAGTGTTGCACAATTTGGTGGGTGAAGGGAGGAGGGGAAGGAAATGGGAAGGGTCCTGTTGAAAAGACAGGGTAATGATGAGCAAGGTCCAATGGTGATTAATTTTATAAAGCATAATTAATGAGAATGATTGTAAGCACAATGTGAATGAAGAATTGTGTGAAACAATGTATATGAACTTTGTAAGCAAGTCAATAAAAATAAAATAATAATAATAAAAATATAAGTATTTCCCAGCTAAGCTTTTTTGTTTAAATTTTCCCTAAGGTATTTCCCTCTGCCTTCATTGTTAGAACCACCTCTGAACCCACAGCCAATTAGGAAGCTTTATTTGAATTCTGACTTCAAGGGTTCTCTGTGCTTCCTTGAACTCCTGGGAATTAAAAAACTTCCTTTAACTGACTATAAACAGAATTTTGAAATTCATGGTGAAAAAGTTTGTTTAGTTATCTCTAGTTGTGGTGATACACACACTCAGAAAGCTTTATTATCTAAGTAACTGTTTTCTTTCTATTATGTAGATTCAGGCTAAAACCTCTTATCCTGACAAGTTTTCCTTTGTGGTAATCTGCACATGGAAGTTGATCTAGGGTATGGATTTGGGAAGGGAAAATTCTTTTCTTTGATGATAGTAATTGGACCTTATTCCTGGTTTAAAATTTGGTCTAATGATTATTTTTCCCCTTAAGAAGTTGTCTTTTTTTATTTTGAATTACCTATGAAAAAGCTATTTGGATATAAGCCAAGAAGTTTCTTTGGTTCTTTGCAAGTCACTGAGATGTTTTTTGTTTTTGGCAGAAGGTAAAAGAGTTTGACTGTAGACTAATTTTTTTGAATACATGGAGCTCTGTTGACCTAGTCGTAAGGAGTTACACTGTCAACCCAGCAGCACAGAGTTCAAATCCACCAGTTGCTCCATGGGAAAATTATGGGCAGTCTCCTTTTGTGTGATTTACAGCCTCTGAAAATGTTCTGGAGGGTCATCTATGTGTTGTTTCCAACTGGATGACACTTAAAAACAAGATACAGCAAAAATTTAGTTCTGAGAACAAGTAAAAGCTCAAATTCTAATGCAACATCTGTGCTTGTAGATAACCTTTAATCTGCCTGTTGTTAGGTGACATCAAGTTGAGTATGGCCATAGTTACCTTATGAACAGTGGATCTGAACCCCGTCCTATCCTGTTCCATCTTCACACTTCCTGACATACTATAGTCCATTGCAGCTGTCATCGTGCCAATCCACCTGGTTGAGGGTCTTCCTCTCCTTCAGTGACCCTCTACCCTTCCCAGCATCATGTTCCTCTCCAAGGAAAGCCCCTCCTAGCAACATGCCAGAAGTATGTGAAGTGAAGCTTCATTATTCTTGCCTGTAAAGAACATTTCAATTGTGCCCTCTTTTAATAAAAGGATCCATAATTCCAGAGGAGTGCTTTGGTGATCATCCTGAAAAGAATCCTGTACATCTTTATGGGAAGATATTTGAATATTTCTCCTGCAGAAAACAAGTGTATTTGGACTCAAGTTTTTTGGTTAGCAGCTCAAAATGCTACACGCTTAAACCATCAGGACTCCTCAACCTAAATGTGCCCTGAAAGAAATACTGGCAATGCACTGCAGAAAAACCATCCATTGAAAGCTCAATGAGCACACTCTGACACACATGAAAAGTTGTGTTGTCTTGACATAAACTGGTTGGTTACTCATTGTTTTTGAGTTGGAATGGACCATAGCTGAATTTTCCACATTTCTTCAGAGGCTGTAATTCTCATGGAGGAGATATTTATCTTTCTTTCATGGAACAACTGGTGGTATGTAGCCACTGGAGAGTCCCCGCCTTTGGGTTAGCACCCCACCATGTTACGTTGAGTCATAATTGACATATGGCTGACCTTCCGCTGTGCTTCTGAGGCTGTTAATCAAATGGGAAGGAGACTGCTCAATTTCTCCCTGGACCACTGGAGACCTGATATTTGGAACCAATTCATAATTGACCCTCTAGGAGGTTTTCAGAACCTATAAACCACATGGGAAGAGAATGTCCATCTTTTACCCTTGGAGTAGCTGGTGGATTAAAACTGTATGCCTTTGATTACCACTAGACCAGCAGAATTCCCTTAAGATCACATTAGTAGGCTGTAACCAACCGCTCTGATGGTGGCATAATCTGTAGAGAGTTGTGCTTCTAAGTGAAAGGCTACTCCACTCTGGAGGTGTGAACCAACCAGGAATTCTGTGAGAAAAATATGGGCATTCTCTTCCCAAAAGCCCCATGAAAGTCAGTAAGGAGCCAGCTCTGACCCAATTGCAATGAATTGAGTTGAAATGTTTTTTGATCAAGTGTGACTTAAATGGGTTTGGATGTGTTGTTTTTTTTTTTTTTTTTTTTTAGAATGGTCTTCTCCAATGTGATTAATGGTTGAACTACAACAACAAAACAACTGAAATCCTGTGTGCTTCAAAAACGTTTTCTGGCAAGGAAAAAGACAATCTACTGACTGGGAAAAAAAAAATTGGCAAAACCATCTCAGGCAAGGGTCTCATAAAAAAGTTTGCAAAATAATACTGGGCTGCCACAAAAAAATGACTAGTAACCCAATTACAAAATGGGCAAAAGACATGGGAATACTTTTTTTATAGAGGAAGACATATAGATAGGCAACAGATACATACAGAAATGCTCAAATCACTGACAATAAGAAAGACACAAAACAAAAAAACCACAATGAGGAAACGATATTATCCCAGTAGCAGTGACAAAGTTTAGCAGGACAGCAAGCAATAAATGCTGGAGACAATGTGTAGAGAGAGGAATTCTCATACACTGTTGATGGGATCATCATAATATGGTACAACCACTCTGGAAGGCAGTTCGGTGTTTCCCTCAAAAGCTGAATATATGACCCAGCTATTCCACTCCTTGAAATATACACCAAGAATATGAGAACCGAGAAACAAATGGAGATTTGTACACTAATGTTTATAGTAGCATGATTCACCATCACAAGACCATGGCAACAGCCCAAATATCCAACCACAATTAAATGGATTGAGAAATTGTGGTACATTCATATAATGGAATACTATACAGCACTCAGGAGTAATGGTTTTGAAAATTACTACATAACTTGGGAAGGACTGTAGAGCATTATGCTGAGTAAACTAATTCTCATAAGGACAAATACTGCATAAGACCATTACTGTAGAAATAGAAAGATAACTAGTAAAACTTGTTTGAGGATCCAAGCGGGGGGAAGGTGGGAGCAGAGGTGTGAGGATGAGCAAGGAGGAAATCACAGGGTTGCACAATTTGATAGATGGAGAAAGTGATGGGTAAAGAAAATGGGAAAGATCAAGAGAGGATCTTAAAAGACGGGCAATAGTGAGCACAGTTCAATGTTGATCAATTTTATAAATTACAGTGAATCAGAATGATTCATGAAAAACAATGTGAATGAAGGATAGTGTGATATATGTATACAATGTATACAAACTTTGTAAACAAACCAACATAAAATAAAAATGAAAAACAAAAATTAAAAAGCCAACTGAAATCAACATTTTGATTTGGACTCTTTTACCTGGTTCAACGTCGAGAGAGTAGCTGTCTATTTCCAGATCAAGTTGTTGGGATGCTGCAGAACGGAAATCCTCCAAGACATCATGCACAGCTTTGGTGAGGTTATATGGCACTGAGCTGGCAAACCTCATTTTGCTATTCACAATCACACTCCCATTTCTGAAGTTAAGGATTTTGAGCTGCTTAAATCCTGTCAGATTTGTTTGTAGATATGGAATCAGCTGCAAAATAAAAGTTTATTCTTAACTAAATTCCTAAATGCTCAGCTGCTACTAATGAATTTCCCCCACTTTTTATTATCTGAACTAGAACATTCAATTCCTCTTTAGTTTTAGATTTTATTGTTTCTGGATTCAGTTAAACCAGAACACCACTATTTAATGTTTTATTTGCAGTTATTGTATTTCATACTTCTCCCTTGCTATTTGGGTATCTAGATAGATGGCAGTGGGTTTCTTCATGAGAACAGAGTATTGGAAAAAATAATCCAGGTCAACTAAGCTGGAATGCCAGATTCAGTTATTTAAAAGAGTCCAAGTAAATAAAAACATACTCCAAGCTGAGCTCAAGAGAAGACAGACCTATGCCTGTGTAAATGAGACATCTATTTGGAAATCACGAATTTGAAATGATCGGTTGAAATAGCTTAAACGTCAGTCTGCCTGTCAACACAAATGCAGGGCAGTGGAAATAACAGGGAACTGGAAGTTAAGAGGCTTGGTGCCGGTCCTGGGAATGCCCTTTACCAGCGGTGCGATGGTGTGACCTTCATCGAGCCCTATAACAACCACACTACACCCATGCCCTTATCTAAATAATGAAGGAGCAGAAGAGTGGATCCTTAAATATCCTTTTGCAGGTGCAACTTAATAACCACACTAGTGCACCCCAGGAGATTTTGTTCAGTCCACAATGTCTGTTTCTTGTAAGCTACATCCATCCTTGGACCCATTTTTCAAAAATGATCTGAACATTTCTTTCCTTATTTGCCCCTGGTCCTGCAACTTAACTCTTTTGATCATGAACCTGGGTACCCAAATAACACAAAGAAACAAAATGCATCATTTCAGACTTGCTCCAGACTGAATTTTTATTTTGTCCTTACTTCCCTAAAATTCCAACTTTGTGGTTCTTACTCATCCTGTAATATCCCTCTTACAAGGTCATTGAGAAAATAAGGTGAAATTATAGATAACGTATGTTGTTGTTGTGTAACATAGAGTTGGAACAGACCCAGAGCTGACCCTCTAGAGGGTTTTCAGAGGCAGTTAATTGCATAGGAAGAGATTGCCCATCCTGCAGATGGCGACTTGAACTGTGTACCTTTGGGACCTCAGCACAGCTTTTTGCTACTAGGCCACCAGAGCTCACATAACATATAAACAATTTTTCTTTTCTGAATCAACTCTCCCATTGTGGGAGGAGCAAACATTAGAAAAGTCCTATGTCTAGCAAATGTTCATATGAATAAATTAGCTTTAAATAGATTTTAATTTATATAATTGAATCATTAAGTAAATTGAGTATATTTGAATATTTGAGAGTGGATAATGAATCATACAAATATTTTCCCTATTATTTTCAGAAATCAGCACTCCGTGATATACATTGTGCAATTGATTTTAATTGACCATTACTATATGGACGGTATCTCACATAGTTGTTACATACCGTTAAGACAGAGCCGTTTCATAGCTGACCCTCCAGAATGTCTTCAGAGATAGTTAATTGTATGGGAGGAGATTGCCCAACTTTCTCCTACGGGTCAGCTGATGTATTTGAACTGCATCCCTTTGGGCATGCAGCACAACGCTTTACCGGGAAACTGTCAGAATTTATCATATCGTTCAGCACTGATTATTTTACATGTAGAAACAGAACAAGTATGTGAGTTTGGGGGTGTTTTAAAGGTAAGAGAACCCTTGGTTAAACAGTAGCTGAAACGTTCAGCTGCTAACCACTAGGTCAGTGGTTTGAACCCACCAGTCTCTCTGTAGAAGAAAGGTATAGCAGGCTTCTTTGATAAAGATGTCAGCCTTGAAAGCCCTGGGGGCAGTTCTACTCTGTTTCATAGGCTCTCTATGAGTTAGAATTGACTCAGCAGCAGAGCGTTTAGTTTGGCTTTATATCTAAGATCCATGTTATCATCATTTCACTTTCTTTGTTAGAGGTCAAGAATGATAAGCCAATTAATCTTTTTTCCCCCCCTTTTCTTTCTTCTTTCCAGGGACAGAAAGAGAAAGGAAAAAAGTGTTCTTCATCTCTGAACACTCTGCCTAATTTTCCCCAAACTACTCTCAGTCTTGAGACTTTCAACAAGATGGATTGACACAGTGACTTCGTCAGTGGGCTTGAGCATCACAGAGATCCTGATCCTGAGGATGGTACATATCGGGCAAGGTTCAGATCTGCTGCTTTTAGGGTTGCTAGGAATTTTGGTTGACTCGATGGCACCCAGCAATAACAACAACAACAACAACATTGAGTCCATTTCCGTTAGTCCAGTAACTGGAAAGTTGTAGCATTACAACTTAGGAAAAAGCCACTCAAACTATTTTCAGAGTTGGATTTTCGGAGGCTGTAAATCACATGGGAGGAGATTGCCCGTCTTTGTCCTGTGAGTAGCTGGTGGAGGCACTGCATTGAGGTTAGCAGCACAAGTCCTTACAAACTTTACCACCAACACTCCCTTACTCACATCCTATTTGTAGATCTTTAATTCAAAAATTCAGTGATTATACATTTTTCCTGGAGTGTTGTCTCACGTATTTTAGATATGTTGTTAGGAGAGGGTATACCTAGGAAAGGACTATCATGCTTGGGAAAGTGGAAGGCCAGAGAAGGAGAGGAAAACCTTGAATAAAATGGATTGATACACAATCCCCTCCCCCCCCCCCCCCCCCCCCCC